AATGAGGTACCCATATGACCTCAGTGGCCATCATAGAGGAGTATCCGTAGGTTCTCAAGGACTATCCCATAGAAGTACTCATAGGTCCTCAAGTCTTATCGAATGAGGTATCCATGGGACTTCAAGGACTATTATATAGAGGTATCTATAGGTTCTCAAGAGCTTTTATATAGGGGCCACCTATAGATGCTCAAGGGTTATCCTATGAAGATATTCAAAGGTCTTCAAAAGCTATCTGAAGGAGCGGTGTTGGATACTGCTAGTTGTTCAAGAGATATCTTGCATTAGTCGTCATAGGTTTTCAAGATCTTTTAGGTGTTGCCCGTGAAACTGGTAAAAACCTCATTTATACGTCATGCACTAACTAATATTGAATATGGTAAGAAACAGTGAATTAGTGAGTAATGTAAGAGACGTGTATTTGAGTTTTGTTTTGGGAAGTAAAAATGGACTCTTTTTGTTAGTCAGACGTAATTGAATCACGTGGTGGAGTGTCTTCGCTATACAGTTAGCATTATGTAGAGAAGACAGCGTTTGAAAATTTGGGTAAACTTTGAGTTTCTCTTTAGTCAAAGATCAATGGAGCATTAGGTGTGGAACAGCTGTAGCTTATATGAACGAGAGCTGACTGACCAGTTCCAACTTAGAGAACTGAAGTTGCGGCACACCTACTCATGAATACCACTATGGGAGAGGGCTTCAAGACCAATGGGTACCCTTATATAATAGGACTTGAGAAGCCAGGAGTACCCTCATAGGATAGCCCTTGAGGACCTATAGGTGCTCCTATATAATAGAGCTTAAGGACCTATAGGTACCTCCATAAAATAGCCCTTGAGGGCCGATCAGTACTCCCATAGGATTGCCTTTCCGAACCTATGGGTACTCCCATATAATAGTCTTTGAGGACAATAGGTAACCTGTTAACTCCGATATATATATAGAACCAAAGAATAAACAGTGTCACTGACGTTATGTGATAGAACGAAGGAAAATATGACCTTTGTGGGACTCGTACCCATACCTTCTGCTATCTGGGCGGATGTACTAAGCCAATTACACTAGAAGGATCATTTTAATCTTTGTTTAGCGTCAGTATGTATCATCACTGACGCTAACATAACTGCATATAATAGTCCTTGAGAAGCTATGGGTGTCCCCAAAGAATAGCCCTTGAGAACTTATAGGTATCCCTTAGAAAATTATATGTGAGATCTCTATATAGCCGTTGAAATGTTAGAGGTACATCCCTTTACCAGGGCAGTAATAAGTTGAGTGGTTACCCTAATTAGTACTAATTAGTTGGGTATTCACCGTAGTCAGTTAAGAACCTATCTTAATTAGCACTAATTAGTACTGATTAGTTTAGTATTTAATCGAATTAGTTTTAATTAGTAGAGTACTAATTAAGGTGAGTACTAAGTAGACCGAGTACTAATTAATTAACTAATGTACAATTGCTTAATGCTTCCAGTCTATAGCGGGAACTGACGCGATCCTGCTATGTGCTATTAACTATAAAACATGGACTCATGTTAATTGGTGAAATATTAACTGGCGCGAAATGAGCTCCAAATTTGGAGTTCACGCAATTTGGTGCTCACTTTTTCTGACCGGTTTTTGCTCTGCAAAAGTAGATAATGATGAGACGCAGAATAAAGACAGAGAACAACAGAGTTGTAGAAGTAGTATTATGTTCTTAATCCCGCTGAAAGACCTTGAATGTCATCTACACTCTAAATAAAAATCGTTTTCTTGGAAACCCAGGAAAAAAGGTTGCCGAGCGTATAGAAACCCAAATAGATTTCCAGACTGATTTCGGAAACCTGAATACGTTTCCGGACTGATCTCAGATACCTTTAAAAGTTTCTTGGAAAGAAAAAATTAGTTTCCGACTTTCGGAAACCTTAAAAACGTTTCATATAGTGACAAATCCGGAAACGCTAAAAGGTTTCCGGGAAAATGATAGGGTTTCCGGAGTTTTGGAAACGGATCACTTTTTCTGGAAACCTTTTAGCGTTTCCGGATTTGTCACTATATGAAACGCTTTTAAGGTTTCCGAAAGTCGGAAGCCCATTTTTTCCTTCCAAGAAACTTTTAAAGGTATCCGAGATCAGCCCGGAAACGTATTCAGGTTTCAGAAATCAGTCTAGAAACCTATATGGGTTTCTGAACGCTTTGAAACCTATTTTCCTGGGTTTCCAAGAAAACGATTCTTATTTTGAGTGTACTCTTTCAGTGAATTGACGAAGCAGTATATAATCTTAAGCAGTTCCCTCTGAAGCACATTTGTTGACTTCCTTTGCTTGATCGAATTGATTGAAACATAACAGAAAGATTGCTCTTTGGCTTGCAATCTGGCAAAGAAAAGTCACTATGAATGTACCGATAACATCGATTCTGCCTTCTTTGCTTCCACAATTCACTTATTTCTATCAGTCCTTGCGCTCATTGTTACATCTGAAATCGTTTTATTTCGCTTTCTTCGTCCTTATTTCGAATTGCCATAATAGTAATTCATCGGAGGCTAATCTTGTAGATGTTTTTCGTATGGGAATTTCTCTTCCGGGAGAAGAGACAATGTCCTATGTCCACTTTTTGTGGAATGCTACGCAAGTAGAAATAGGTCTGGAAAGAGGCTGTTTTCTTGCTTAAAAGAAACAACTACGAACATATTTCAGTGAAGTCCATTTTGAACCTATTGTGGACCAAACCCGAAGCCTATTTTGCTGAGAATGTCGTTGAAACTGGTTTGCAAAGGAAAATTGAAGTGATTTATTCCATTTTCCTCGTGGAACCTATGTCTTTCTCTTATCTCTGCCTTATTGTTGTAAAGTGACAATTTTACTCAACTATCGATTATGTTTGATGGATTTGCCAGTTCTATGAGTAACAGATTATCAAGCTAATCCATGGATTATTGGTATGCAGAGCTACCGTTTAGTTTTATTCGGGGATGGAAGACTTCAGGGAGAGAGTCTTCTGAACTGAGAGAGAAAATATGGAAAGATCAAAGGTTTCTTGTTAGGAGAATTGGTAAACTCCCATTGAAAACTGGAGAAAACGCATTCCGTTTATGAAAATCAATTTATTTTCCTTGAAATATTCAAAAATGTTTTCTCTTTCGGTAGAAACGACTTTTCTTATTGAAAACTAACCAGGAAACTCATTTTCGATTATTTTCGCCGCCTATGCCCTATAGAAAATGCTGAAAAACTTGTTCAAGAGCTGTGAGCAAACCTTTTGAGGAAGAAAGACTAAACTGAAAGCAAAATTCAGGAAGAAAAATCTCAACCCTGTCTTCTAATCAATAGTCCTCTTCCCATGTGATTAGGACACTGGAGGAAGGGTCCAGAGTTGACGGAGAAAATGCAACGAACGGTTCCAGGAAAAGAGCATAAATTTCATAGTGATCTGTATAATAGTGAGGTTCAAAATAATATCAAGCAAAAGATATTATTGAATCATTCTATTAATCCTATCTGTCCTCCTTCTACTCCCCCCCCCCCCACGATGTACATGGGTGATGCCATTTGTACGTTGATTGCAGAAGCTGAAAAACGTATAGAATTCAAAAAATGTTAAAATGTTTTTTGTAACAAACTTCCTGAACGATCGATCAATAAAAAGAATATTTTCGTTTCATCGGTTTGTCTTCAAAATATAAACCTAAAAAATCGATAGTTTTTACAAAAGTTCACCTGTTCAGAACAAACTATATGCTCATTACAGGGCAATAGAGGTAGCGACGCTCTGTTCTGTAATGTATATCAACAAAAATATCGAAATCGGAATAGACTGCGTTTCAAAAGTTTCA